TGCTTTTATAAAGATTGATTTTAGAAAACTGTATATAGGAGTAGTACTACATATTATATGATACAGAGGGTAAATAAGATACTTTATTTGCAAAAATTATCACTAGTGATACTTAACATTGAATTTCTGAGTGAAATCAGAAATCTACATTTAAATTTAACACAGAATTTTAATGAAGAGAATATTCAAAGTATATTTCATATGCATAAAGATATGTAAAATTTTGAAAATTAATTCCCCTCCCATTAAATTGCCTAAGTGAAAAACAACAAAACATAAGGAAAAGGAATTGCCAATTATTGATAAGGATGTATAAAATGGGTACTTTCCTGCCAAACTAATGACTTTCAGCCTCTAGTCAGAAATAACCACATAGGTAAAGAAATCTCTAAAACTTTTCTGAAGGGATTAAGAGGACAGAATAAAAGGAGAGCTATATCATGTCCTAGAAATAGAAAAAAAAGAATTGTAAAAAAGAATGATAAAGAAGCAAATTCTCCCTCAAATAGTGTGCAATTTTGGTGCAATCCCAATCAATATCTTTATTGGTTCATTTTAATGGAGCTTGACAGGCTGGGTTTTAAATTCAACTGTAGCGGTAAGATGCCAGAGAAGGGAAGAAAACAACATTAAAAAATACGTTTAACTGGGTTTTCATTATATGGTAAGATGATTTGCCACCTACCTCTTTTCTTAAGCAATCACATACCCTAAGGATTTGAATGAAAATTAAACACACTTGTTGCTATTTCACTTTAAAGTTCTTTGAAAAAGAACGTTCCTCCACTTCAACACTTCAGCGGTTTCTCTTGACAATTCCCCCTCCTCTAATTCAGGGAGGGGCCTGCTGCTTTTGTCATAGCTAGAGGGCGGAGCCTCCCCTTGAGTCCCTTGGAAAGGAGCTGTGTCTGGCCAGTCTTGGAGGAGGAGCTGCCTCTCACCAAGCTGCAGCTGACAAGAAGCTTCAAGGTAATGACTGTCATAAAGCTGTTATTTTCTAGTAACTTCTCAAGGCCCTGTAGTAAAGATGAGACAAATAGAGATGACAGTCTTGAAGTGGTGGAACAGTGTGTGGTTGTGAGAGAATTACTGGCATTTTAAGGGAATTAATACTCTGGAATTTTTGTATCTTCCAATGCTTTGTAAATCCACAGGAGAAGAGGTGATCAGATTACAGCCTCTAAATTAAGGCTTCAGTGTAGCATGGCTGTTCCTGCGAATTTATTGACTTGGCATTCCATGTTTACATGGCTAGTCATTCTGTTGCTTGATTTTGTAAGCATCTATTAATTTTCATGGAAAAATAACTTAGAAGAATTGATAGCATGGGGGGAATACTCCTATATGTTGATTGATACATAGACTGTGCATGTGTCACATGTATATGAGCATGGAAAAGGGATCGAATGTGTAGTTGACTGAAGTTACTTGCACATGATAGATGCATATATGTATATGTATGATTAGAAAAAAATCTGGAAGAAAATGAACCCCTTGTTAACATTTAGCACTTCTGTGTGGCCAGGTTAGATTTTTTAACTTGTAGCATCTTTATAGTAGATTTCTTAATAATTACTTTTTCAATTGTGAAAGAAAAATGAAGCTAAAACAGCATATCCATTTTGTTTCAAATACATAAACACATAGACACACAGAAACATGCTTCCATATCCCCCTTGTCTTTTGCCGACACTGGAAATTTTCCTAGACCTGATCAAATGGGTAGCCTGTCTTATGTGTCAACTACAGCCCTGCATGTCCTCCTTGCATTTCATTCTTTCAGGCAACAGATATGACTATGGTCAGAAAGAATGATTTTTTTTTATGACATCTAAGTTTAAGAGTGAGGCAGGTGATTTGGTTTATGCCTGTAAGCAGTTTTTAAAATAATATATGGCATAGAACATCCATACAATTAAATACTATGTATTTGGCAAATAGAAACATGAACCTCTACATGTAGAGATTTGAAAATGTCTAAGAAATACATATAAGGTGAAAAAAGGAAATCATAGAATAACAGATATCATATGATCTCACTTAAGAATGAATATGTATGTTACCAGAGTATATACAACCAAATATGGAAGACAAATCTGCAAAAGTATTAACAGAATTATTTGCATAGTTGGAGAGGCAGGGCTGGCTTTACTATTTTCTATTTTTTTTAATTAATGTGTAGTTATTTATTTTGTACACATTCAGGGAAAGTGTTGAGATAAAATGTTATAAACATGAAGAAAACCTCATTTAATTTAGAAAAGATCATGTAGAAGATATTTATATAGAACAGTGTTTAAGCCGTGCTCTTGAGTGGGGTCGGAAGCTGGTTTCTAGTAATATACAGTTATCTATATATATAAAAATTCTGGTAAGATATATAGAAAATACTCATAGTGGTTATTTGTACAGAGTTGTGCTTTCTTCTGCATGTATTTGGGCATCTTCTCAATTTTTAGTAAGCTTCTTGATGTTTTCATAATCGGAAATATTATAATTGAAGACATTATGATCCAATTCTAATCCAAAATAAAACTCTTAAACTTAGCATAGAAAATTCTAGAAGCCTGAGAAGGCTTCTGACTATCTGGATGTAGTTTCCATCTTTTTCCCATAAAAACGGGTCTGGTAGTGATTGAAGTTCTGCCTGTAACTCATGGGGAGGTTGCAGTTCTAGTTGCTGTCACAAGATGGCACTTGCCAGATTTCCTAAATTTTCTCCAAGCAACCATTTTTATGAATTAGGCAAACAAAACAGCAAAACTATATTAGTAGACTGTGAGACAGCGTGTTCACAATTACAGTTCCATTGAAAAAAAAGTATGTGTAAAGAAGAAAAAAGTCTATATAATGACTGATGTGAGGATTCAAACAGAAAATCTAAAAAGTCTATCTAGCTCATAGTAGACACAAGGCAATTGTTACTTCCTTCTCTCCTATCTCTAAATCTACGTCCTGCTTTTCCTGAGAGATGATTTCAACATGAACCAAATGACAGAACTGTTTCCCAGAGAGCATTTTATATTATAAGAACATGAAGGGAAATATATACATAGCATCTATATCACAAATGAAATTTTGCCTTATTCCTGTGTTTCAGAATGCCATGCCCGTTGGAGATTTGATAGGGAAATTTCTTTACACCTTTTCCACTTAGTTAATGTGATTCTCTGTCTTCTTTTGGACAGCCTAGGTTAGTATCAAAGATGCATATGACCTGGACAATCTGTATATGATACCAGTTTACCTTTGGTAAGGCAGTACAACCACAGAAGTGCCAAACAGTTCTCTCCTTCTCTCCTTCAGGACAAGAACGTAGACTGAGAATCAAGACAGCTACATCATAGGGCTGACCCTTTACAGTGTACATCACAGTAGGTAAGTCTCTTCTTATTTCATTAAACACTTCATGTTATCAAGAACGTGAGGAATAGTATACTCTGCTTCCTGTTCTGCAGCCAAGGCATTTTAAATTAAAAAACACATGTCATATTAAAATCAGAGAAGTTGAGAATATGGGGCAACATGCATTTTGTTTCCTGTTCTGCAGCCATGACATTTTATAATTAAAAGTCAGAACTTCTAGTTTGGGGAAAGAATATCATCGTGTGTTAAACCATTATGCAAAAATCATACAAGAGGCTATTTGGGTGTCTATGTGAGGTTCCAGCCAATGGCCTGACTCCCCCAATCCTCGATAACTACCCTATCCAATTAGTGGTCATAGCAGCCATTCTGAATCTCTGCCTTGTAAGCCTGTGCTGTTATAAAGGTCATTATACTTTTGCCTGAGTCCAGGAGATAGAGACCCTCTTGTTTTTTCCTGCTTTGGGTGAACAAAGCACTTTACCACCCCCCCAAATTTGGCAAAAATGAAAATTGCAGCTTAAAATATTTAAACCTGTGTTTTCAGCTAGAACATTGCTTCTCAAGACGTTCTTCTTGGACATGTACCATTAGAGATCTAATCTTGTACTTCCAGCTTAAAAATTTTTATAAAGCTGTGTTTTCAGGTAGAACATTGCTTCTCAAGAAGTTCTTCTTGGACATGTACCACTAGACTCACTTATGAACTTTGTAGAAATACAAAACTGTGAATTCAGTCCAAACCTTCTGAATAAAACTTGTAGCATGGGGCCTAGAAATCTTAACAAGTTTTCCAGATAATTCTGATGCTTTCTAAGTTGGGAGGCCCACTGCCATAAATATAATCTTTTTTTTTTTTATTAAATGGTAACTATGTACATTAATGCACTTCTGGGGTACAGTGTGGGGTTTTCACATGCAATCTGAAATACTTCCATCAAACTGGTCAACACAGCCTTCATGTCATTTTCTCAGTTATTGCTTTAAAACGTTCACATTCTACTCTTAGAAAGATTCACCTGTACCCCTATAAGATAAACCTCAGAAGTGATCCCTCCAAACCCCCTCCATAAATATAATCTTAAGGGCACAAAAGTACCAGAGTATCTAATAAGATCAATAGCAATCCTGACACACCACCACAAGCTTTCCCACCTCAGCCATTATATATACACATTTACTCCTTAATAATTATGTACAATCATAAGGGCAAGTTCTTAGAGGTATTATAAAATGACTTACCCAATTTTTATGCCTACCTTACATTATGCTACATTTTCTTCCTTTGTTTGATGCCCAGCGGAGTATCATTCTTTCTTTTATCTTTTCTTTATTCACAATTGCTCACTTAACTTTGGCAGAATAATTTTATTTACTAATACTTTTCTTCTTTTCCTGTTCCCTATTTCAGTATCTTCCAATATTATTCCATTCATAACATCGTGTTCAAGCATCCTTGGAAAACTGAAGTGGAGGAGAACAGACCACACAAGCTGTAAACCCTTTGTAGTTCTAAGACAAAAGAGGTTTTGTTAAAAGTATTGGTTTTGTGTAAACGTATATTTAGCAGTGACAAGAACAGGTAGTCACCTCAATCTCTGATAATAACCCTTGGCATACAAACCCAAATTATAATGGATGCCGAGTATGTCCTATGCAATTGGAAAGACCAGTTGTGGCCAGCAAAAGTTTTGTCCAGATCTGAAACTTCATCAGACAGTAAGAGAAAAAAGTCATTTTCCCTAGAAGTTCAAATACTCTCACTAGATGAAAAGATTAAGGTAGACAGTACAGAAACAAAGATACTAACTAAATGTCAAATTGAAGCCATTACCGCCTCACTAGGAGAGCAGTCAGAGGTCAGTTCTCCATCTACCGAGGAAATGACCTATAGAAGATCTCTGCAAGCAGCACTGGATATTCTGAATGAGAGCACAAATCTGAGTCAAGCAAGTATTTCTGATGATGAGACCAGTACACTGTCTGAAAATGCACCACAAAATGAGTCTGATTCACCCCCTCCTAAAAAGTATCGAAAGCACGAAGGGGACTTAGAAAGTGAAAATTCAATATCCCTGCTAATATCTTCAGAGAGTGATGATTCCCTGCATGATGATAAGCCCCAGGTGCACACAACTACTGGTACTATTCCAAGTGAAACTGAAATGAAGTCATCACAAAGCCCCAGCTTGTGCCAGACTTCTTCTCTTTCAGAAGATGAGGATGAAAAAAAGAACAAGGAAAAGGTTAATATCTCAACATTTGTGTCTGTGCATTCCACAGCCAAAGAGGAGGATGTGGGTATTAAAGATGAAAAGATTGTTCCATCTTTACCATCAGATATTCATGCTGTGCCCAAAGTTTTAAAAGAGGAGAAAGAAGATACCTGCCAAGAGACCCTGGATATTTCCTCTGAATGCTCTTCTCTCTCAGATATTGTTGAGGATCCTGGAGAGGGTCCCTCAAATCCACACTTAGAAGCCAGCCAAAGCCAACCTGCTGTGGAGCCAGAGATGGCTGCTACAACATCTACTGGGAGTCAGTCATGGGAATGCCAGGGTTCTTCTAGTGCCTGTAATCTTGTCTTGGATTATTCCCTTGCTGGGAATAGAGAAAGAGATCTTCAGGCACTGGATTTTGAGGAACTTGATGAAGTTCAAGCTTCTGACAAGTCATTACCTCAAAATCCTGTTGATGTTTCCTTGTTAGATGATGATGAGGAAGAGGAAGAACTTCCACGCTTCATTTTAAATTATGAGTCACGTTCATATGAAACAGGAATGATAGTCTGGTTTAAATATCAAAAATATCCATTTTGGCCTTCCGTGGTAAAAAGCATCAGAAGAAAAGAAAAGAAAGCAAGTGTGCTTTTTGTTGAGGCAGACATGAATCCTGAAAAGAAAGGAGTTAGAGTATCTTTTAGAAGATTAAAGAAATTTGATTGTAAAGAGAAACAAGCCCTAGTGGAAAAAGCCAGAGAAGAGTACAGTGAAAGCATTGACTGGTGCATTTCCCTGATTTGTGACTATAGAGTTAGACTAGGGTGTGGCTCTTTTTCAGGCTCTTTCCTTGAGTATTATGCTGCTGATATTAGTTATCCAATTAGGAAAGTGACCAAACAGGATACCTTCAGGAACAAATTTCCAAAGCTGCATAACAAAGATGCTGGGGAAGCAATGGTTGTGACTTCTCAGACCAAGAAAATGTCCTTCCGGAAAATTCTTCCTGACCGGATGAAGGCTGCTCGAGACCGAGCCAACAAGAACCTCGTGGATTTTATTGTGAATGCCAAGGGAACAGAGAGTCATCTTCTGGCCATTTTAAATGGCACAAAAGCATCCAGATGGCTGAAATCATTTTTGAATGCAAACAGGTTCACACCCTGTATTGAAACATATTTCGAGGATGAAGATCAGTTGGATGAGGTGGTGAAATATTTACAAGAAGTCTACAAACAAATAGATGAAAGAATGCTGGCTGTGATAAAAGATGATAAAATCAAGTTCATCCTGGAAGTTCTTCTCCCAGAAGCAATTATTTGTTCAATTTCTGCTGTTGATGGGTTAGATTATGAGGCAGCTGAAGCGAAGTATCTAAAAGGACCGGCTTTAGGCTACAGGGAAAGAGAATTATTTGATTCAAAAATCCTGTTTGAGAAGAGACGGAAACCACCAACAAATGAACCTCATTAAATTTCCTGAGAGTCGAAACCATAACAGGGAGCTCTGCTAGATAGTACTAGTTTAAAAAAAAAAAATCTCTGAATGGTTCTAACATATAAGTATCTTCTGAGAAAGGGCTTTGGGTAACATGTTCTTTTTTTTGGAGATCTCTAGGATCTGGGGGTATCACTACATCTTTACTTCCTTTTCTTGCACTTCTTCAATTTTGTCAACATATTTCAGCAGTTCTGCTTTCTTATACATTTTTAGAATGCCTAATTCCTACATGACTTTTAAGGGAAAGTACTATTTTGTTTATGACATTTCTGCATCTGTGCTGCATAGTTAAATACAATCCGCACATTTATTTTCATATTAAAATTGCACTTGTACTAGATATTAAGCAAGATTATTAGAAAAGTCTAAAAGAAACAGCAATTATATATTTTTTTGCTTAATTTTTTATAAAATATTGGGTTTTCTCTTAAGATAGTTGAATTATTTTTTCCTGCCATGCCTATTTATTTTTGGAAAAAATATCTCTGAGGCATAGAACCAAAGATAGATATGCTTTGCTATATAGTATAACTAACTATAATTGATCTTGCAATAACACAACATGAAATTCAAAAATAAATGGGTTAATCTATCTGCATGTAATCTATATGTGTGCAAATAACATCTCAGCATGCAGAAAATAATTTTGGCAGCCTTTAACAGGATTTTTCATTCTATACTTGTCTGAAATTCCATTTTTGGAAGTATCTGTCCTTCAATGGCCAAATAGTTTTCTGAAACAGGCCTCTGGCCATCTATAACTAAGAGTGAATAGATCTTCATTAGATAGCTATTTGACCATGTGTAGAAGGCAACTATAGTCATTATAGGTCTGGCCACTCTATACCTATGAGTCCAAGCTAATGGTTTAAGAGCCCATCTACTTTAATATAAACTGTAAAAAAAGCAAGCACTTGTTTTTTGCCTTTTATCTCCAAATATATAATCATTTGTCTCAAACTAAGCAAGCTTTATAATCTGGCTTATTTATAGAGTAGCTCTAATTGTTTCCAGTAATATAAATGCTAACTGTCAAGTCATTCCAAAGTGCTGGAAGAAGTAGATGGACCAGAATCTGGGAATATGAAAAAGGTCATAGAAAAAGCCTTCATTTGGGTACATATGACAACTATGTGCATATGGTTACAAATATATAATCAGAAGTCCAAAGCCAATGAGTGGTTTATTCTAACTTGAAGCAAAATTTTAGTGAGAAAAAATTTTAGAAAAGTTAAGTTTAAAAACTTGATGTGAAAAAAATGCTAAAGGCTTACAATGAAACTGCACTTTTTTTACCTTTTAGAGTGAAACAGCTGTCACTCTTGGGCTCCTATGTGTTCACATGGATACATGTTTACGTAAAATTTGCAAAAGTTTGGTGTTTTAATTCGCAATAAAATCCTTATATCCTTTACTTTGGCTGTTCGCTTCATCATACTATAGATTTCAGCTACATAAATGATCGTTTTGTTCATTTATATACACATATGTGTGTGTATACATATGATTTGTTTAAACTTTTCCTTGTTGCAGTTCCCATCATTTTAACACTTGTTATAATTTATCTTGTTCTAAATTAATACTTACTTTCATGGTAGATTTTGTGCCATTTTGAATGAAAGGTTGCCAAATTTTCTAAGCTGTGTATCCCACAAAACCTTTTTGAACCCTGCCTCAAAAAGACCATTACCTCTCAGATACACAGAATCCACATGCCTTCTTTTGGCCCTAAGAAGTAACTGACATCAAACCATTACCACACTACATGCGGACATTATATCCCAAGAAAACACACTTTATAATACTGTGTCCCTCTGATTCCAATGTATAACCCACCTTTGGTTTGCTCAGTGGTGCCATCTGTATCTCCTCTTTGTGATATTTTCATTACCTCATTCATTCATAGCATTGTGAGTCCGGAGAGCAAGTGATGGGTGGATAAAAGCTCAAGCCCAAATCTATCTAGGGATAGATTTCAGGTGCCACAGAAAGAAGATGTTACTCCTGTGACCCAGATGACAATTTAATTTCTAAGATGACTAGGATGCCTTACATCATCGTATGAGAAATATTTATTAACCTATGGACTGACTACCTGTATTTGAAAATCAGAGCTCCAGGTTTCCTCATTTGTGAGTTCCTGGATATCTGGTTTGAATGAAAGACTCTATGCACCTAATCCCTCATGAGATGTTATTTATCTTGTGGCATATATTGAAGGGAGGGAGGGGTGCCTCAGATATGCATCTATTTTCCTCTTTGGGTCATTGAATAGCATTTGGAATGTGAAAGTGGATGAGTTTGCCTTCCAACTCCTTGTGGACTTAGATACATTCCAACCTGATTAGCTGTTAAAGCAGGCTCTAAGATTGCTTCAACCTGGATCTGTAATGGGAAAGGCTGACCTGTCATCCACCCTAATCCAGTGGATTAAGGAGACACTCATCTCTAGTCTTAAGGCAAACTGCTAAATGCCAAGCCCAAATTCCCTTCAGAACTAGATCTACAGAGCTGCATAGATAGAGCATACATAGGTCTCCATATCTATCTCTGTATCTGATATATATATCCTGATAAGGAAAGACCAGAAAAACAATGGGTGTGGAATTTTTTTTTTTTTTTGAGACAGTCTCACTTTGTCACCAAGCTAGAGTGCCATTGTGTCAGCCTAGCTCAGTGTTCAAGCAATCCTCATGCCTCAGCCTCCCAAGTAGCTGGGGCTACAAGAGTGTGAAAATCTAGAATACGTAAAATCTGGTGAATCCTCAGCCTGACAGAAGTAGCCCCCTATACCCATGCTTTTGGAGACTAGCCTCCCTGTCCCAGACACAAGGCAGTAACTTCATCCAAAGCAGTGATTTTTCAACTGGTATGCTGTGAGAGGATCTTAGATGTGGTGTGAAAATTTTTAAAGATCAATTATTTCTGAAATAAGTTAAAATAACAGCAAATTCTTTTTTTAACTCTTTTATTAACATAGTTTAAGTGTACCATGGAAGTTTATTGGTTCAAGTGTGCTGTGAGATTAAAAAAAAAAAAAAAAAGCTTAAAAAACACTCATCTAAAGCACCTACACAGAGGAGAGAGAGGGGAGGGGAGACGGGTCAGAAGGGAGAGTATTTGGGGAGGCCCCACCTAATGTGCATAATGCAATGGTATGTTTCAAAACTATTAGTGAAAGAGTATAATTGTCTTACCACAACAAATAAGTAAGTGAGGTGATGGATGTGTTAAAGTTCAACGTAGCATTTCACATTGTATATCAAATCAGTACACTGAACCCCATAAATGCATCATTGTACACAGTTATGATGTGTACAAAGCAACTACAAAGGAAGTTGCTTGTCTTATTCAACATCCATTACTGACATATTTATTGCTGCCAACTCAAGACAAGAGTGAGGTATGACATAAGGAACAAGATACAGTCTAAGCAAGTCTAAACACAGAAAATACCTTATATTCAGAAGGGACTACAGAAACTGGTTAATATACACTAGCATGAACTAGAATGATGTATGTTAAAATGGATTTTGAGGATAACAACCTAGGAATGAAAGGAAGCAGAATGTAAGTGGAATATAGGGGAGAATTTGACATAGGATCACACACCTATGACACAGAGTTCAGTGACCTCAAGCAGGCCTACTATGCTACTATGGTGGCGTCTTTAAGTTTGGACAACAAGAACCCCACAGGAACTTCCTTGTCAGAATACTTTGGAATTGAGAAGGCCAAGGGGAGCAGAGATATTAGAAATGATTTATTGTGTGAGACAAAAACTATCTCAGAACTATTTTCCCTAGGAGGTCAGAAAAGACACAACAATAAGAAGGAACATGTTGGTGAGGAGGAACACTGACATCTTTGAGAAGCTCATTTTTTTCTCTCCTCTGCAAAACCTGGGTGGGAATAAACTATGGGGTAATGGGGATTATAAGATTTCAGAGTGAGCCCAGGTTGTGCCATAAAACCTCAGGGGCAGGGAAGGTATCATTAGCATAGTGGAAAGCGAGATTACAGTGGAGTCTAGCTAATTTAACAGAAATCTGTGTCAGTGCCTTACAGATAGTAGTATTCCAGTGTTAGATGCATGGAGAGCTGACTGGTGTATTACTTCTGGTAAGCTGGAGTCTGATATTAGCAGCTGCAGTGGAAAATTACATTCCCTCATCAAGTTCAGAGATGTGTAGTGTAAGCTTTCCCTGCTACTCAGGCCATATGACTGAGCATATCTGACAGATTTTAAGGTATGTATGCTAGATAATGATGTAGTACTTAGTTATTTCCAAGCCATTATATGGGAGTTATAGCACAGAATTTTAAGGTGAAGAAAAGCTGTATTTTCTGTAAACCACTTGCCATTTCAAAAACAGCTCCTTGTATGCTTATTAGATACAAAGTGCCTAACCAAGAGATGGCAAGTGACTATATGTCATCTGTGCATTAAGATTGTCCAAGTGATGACATCTGGCAGGCTCACATATATTCAAGATCTAGCCTGAGAAGGCACAAATACATTAGCATATTATACAAACTCCCCAGGGCATTGACCACTGATGCAATGATGCCCTTCTCTCAAAACACTTGTATAGCCTCATGGGGGGTAGGGGTTGATCTATGGTCCATTAATGGAAGAGGAAAATATCAAGCCTGGTGCACAGATGTCAGCTTCAAATGTTAATGATAACTGCAAATGGACTGCTGCTTCACTTCACCCTCACTTGGAGTAGCCCTAAAGAATAGTGGCGAAAGGGAAACTCTGAAGTGGCAGTGTTGTGAGCAGTATACCTGCTATGTCACTTGTATGGAGGGAGTAGTGGCCTGAGGTTGTGTCCTGGACTGTGGAGAATAACTCAGATGGCATGTCAGAGTTTTGGAAGGATGCAGACTGGAAATTGAAGGTAAGAATATGGGGAAGAGGAATGCGGATGGAACAATGGGAATGGAAACAAATCATATGCATTTCTGAA